GAGGCTCGCTGCAAAAAAGGGTTTAGGGTTTAGGGTTCAGGGTTCAGGGTTTAGGGTTTAGGGTTTAGGGTTTAGGGTTTAGGGTGAAGCAACTGCCGGGATCAACGGATCGGGCTTATATGGCAATTTTGGCAGCTCAATTTGGACCGGGCTTCGTGCTGAAGCGTAAAGGGGGTGAACCACCTCACGGCTATTTTTTTGAGAGTTGTGTCGAACAACTACCACTTTGGGGCCTAACTTTAGAAGAACTTTCTAATGGTTGGTGGCATGGTTGCGGTGTCGCGCTCGCATAGCAAGAAGAGGGCTTGCAGGGCTACAGTTACTACCGGAGCCTTAAAACATGTACGAGTATTTCTCCTAGTTATTTAATACACCCCCACAACCCTAAGCCCTAAACAAGCTGCCCAAAGTACCGAAATTTGACCTGCACTTGAAACACTCGAAATCTTAGCGCAACTCCCCTAAACCAAGCTACAGACTTCCTAAGCCATCAGCCCCTCCGCTCCCCACAGCCCCAAACCTTTCCCTGAACCCTTAACCCTTAACCCCAAACCCTAAACCCTAAACCCTAAACCCTAAACCCTAAACCCTAAACCCTAAACCCTAAACCCTAAACCCTAAACCCTAAACCCTAAACCCTAAACCCTAAACCTAACCCTAAACCCTAAACCCTAAACCCTAAACCCTAAACCCTAAACCCTAAACCCTAAACCCTAAACCCTAAACCCTAAACCCTAAACCCTACTCTAGAACAATACTGTGCATTAGGATGGTTCTTGGGCTGCCGGAAGGTCTTCAATGTGTCCTCTGCCCCTCCTGGCGTCTTTTCACATGGGTTTAAGAAGCCTCGGGGCCTCTTATAGCGTTTAGGGTTGGGTGTTTAGGGTTTAGGGCTTAGGGTTTCTGTGACGTTGTTTTTTTGGATGTATAGGGTTTAGGGCTTACGGTTTCTGTCACGGTGTTTTTTTTGGATGGGTTTAGGGCCGATCAGGTTATTTGCTGTTATAAAGGGATAATAAGTTGCATGTCCTATATAGTTCCGGATTCATGGCCTATAAGTCGTTTCCTGTTTCAGAGCTCCGGCTCCTGACAAGCTGTAGCCCTAAAAACAACAAAAGCCTGGACTACATGGCTTACCCTAAAGTCTGAACCCTTAACAGGCTTAGTGGCTGAGGGTTTCGGATCTCGGGCGCCAGAGTAGGGGGAGAGTTGCAGAAAAGTCCCTCTCTTGGGCACGTTTCAACCGTAGGAGAGCCAGCGCCAAGAAGTCTGGTGTGCCCCTAGAAGCTCTGCGACCCTTATGGGGGTTTCCGAAACTAGGGGTACGTTCTTGAGGTCCTTGTTACAAAGGAATCTTAGTATTTGAGGGTCGATTATGGGTTCCCTTACTTTCGCAAAGCCTTACACGCTAAATCCTGACCACCTGAACTCGCAGAGCTTGAGGGAATGTTGATCAATGCCGAGCTAAGACAGCTCTGTCCTTGAGCACTCCATGGCACACTTAACTTAGGGTTTACGGTTCAGTGCATAAGCAAACGAACAACCAACCATACATGTATGCAAGTATACACACCCAAGAATGGTGGCCCCGAAACGCGCGCACACATGCCTTCATTCCCAGAAGAGACTCGAGCATTTCTACCCCTAAACCCTAAACCCTAAACCCTAAACCCTAAACCCTAAACCCTAAATCCTAAACCCTAAACCCTAAACCCTAAACCCTAAACCCTAAACCCTAAACCCTAAACCCTAAACCCTAAACCCTAAACCCTAAACCCCAATGCAAAGAAACAACGCGGACCGTAGGGACTCCCGGAGCCGCATGCTAGCCAGGAGGGGGTGTAGGGGTGTTTCGGGGGGCTGGGAGTTAGAGGGCAGTAGGGGGTGTAGGGTTTAGGGTTCATTGATAAGGGTTTAGGTAGGGTTTAGGGTTTAGGGTTTAGGGTTTGGGGTTTAGGGTTAGGGTTTAGGGTTTGCAGTTTAGGCTTCATAAGGCTTCTTTGGGGCTTTTCGGAGTCTTCAGGGGTTTTTTGAGGGATCTTCTGATGTGTGCCGAGTCCGAGATTTCTTTCGGAAGAATGGGAGTCTCTGGCTTCCTCAGGACAGAGTCTCACGGTTGCTCTTCAGGAGGGTCCTCTTTACTTGGTGCCCTAAACTTAGGGATTCTTGGGAATAAAATGTATTTTGGGGTGCTCAAATTCCTAAGACACAGCTAACCAAATTAATTTTTGCTAGGGTTCCAAGTTCAGTATAGAAAAAGGGGTAGGTACCCTTTACCATGAGGGTGCTCTTTACTTGGGCTTGGTGCCCTGTGTTCTAAAACGGGGTACCCTTTGCATTCGTTGCTTGATAGGTCGCCTGGGGCTAGTCAAAAGAGTGTGCCCTTTTTGCACTCCTTGGCCGATCGGCAAGTCTGGGATCTAGCAAGCTTGGAATAGAGACGCAACATGTTCTAAACTAAGGTCCCGCGATTCAGTGTCCTCTTACAAGGGTTCTATGAGAGATTCGATGGTGAAGACCTTAAACCCTAAACCCTAAACCCTAAACCCTAAACCCTAAACCCTAAGCCTAACACGGAAAGGGTACCTAAAAGGGGACCCCAAGTTGGAACAACCCGGTTTGATTGCAGAGGTGTCGTCGAAACGTGCCATCGCCTCCTTCAGCGAATTGAGAAAAGAAGAGTGTTTTGGGTGTAGGGTTTAGGGTTTGGGGTTTAGGGTTATGGTACTTATTAACTAACTATAACACCCGAATTATAACCACATTAGGGCACTTAAGGGACTTACAAGTGGGTTATAAGTACAGTTATAATTGGTGGTCCCACGCGGTGGGGGGCTGGGGAGGCACAGGGACCCTAAACCCTAAACCCTGAACCCTAAACCCTAAACCCTAAACCCTAAACCCTAAACCCTAAACCCTAAACCCTAAACCCTAAACCCTAAACCCTAAACCCTAAACCCTAAACCGTGGTGATGAGCCTTAACGCTGTAGAGCCCACTCGCAAGCGAACCCCAAATCTGCTTTCTCCAGGGTTTTAGGCTTATAGGGTTCGTTGGGGTTTAGGGTTTAGGGTTTAGGGTTTAGGGTTTAGGGTTTAGGGTTTAGGGTTGAGAGTTTGAGGTTAAGGTTGGGTTTAGGGTTTGGTGCTTAACTAAGGGTTTAGAGTTTAGGATTTATTGGGGTAGGGTTTGTAACGCCTAGGCAAGAGACATAGAGAACTCCTTCCTCCCTGACCCCCCATCTGCCGCTTACCCCCATCCCTGAACCCTGGCACCCTCAACCCTAAACCCTCAACCCTAAACCTTAAACCCTAAACCCTAAACCCCAGTCGTGCAATCCCAAGTCCCAAGAGTCTCCTAGAAGTCCCTTTCCTCCTTGCAGGTTTCAACTTGCAGCGCCAGGCCGCCAGGGTGTAGGATTTAGGGGCGGGGGGGGGGGGGGGGGGGGGGGGGGTTCGGTTTATGGCTTAGGGTTTAGGATTTAGCGTTTAGGGTTCAAGATTTAGGGTTTAGGCTGTAGGGTTCAAGATTGAGGGCTTAGGACTTAAGGTTTAAAGTGGTTTGGGGTTTAGGGCTTCAAGGTTTAAAGGGTTTGGGGTTTAGGGCTCTTGGGCATCTTCCTTCAACCCTTCAATGCTTAGAGCTGGTCCAACTAAGATCTTAAGCCTGAAGCGCTGTGCAGCTCAAAGCCTGCACCACAAACCTCCCCAAACCCTAAACCCTAAACCCTCAACCCTCAACCCTAAACCCGAAAACCCTAAAACCCTAAAACCCTGACCCGACCCCCTCAAACGGTAACCCGTCAATCTAAACCCCTAAAGCCCTAAACCCGAAAACCCTAAAAAAAACCCGAAACCTTTTAAGAGGATGATATTTAGGACCTTTTTGCGTTCAGTGGTTTTGGGGTTAGGGAGTTTCGGAGGATCATGTTTATATAGTTATGTTTTTCGGGTCTCGGGTTTCGGGTGTGGGGGCCTAGGAGGATCATTTTTGTTTAAGGATTCTTTGCCACAAACCCTGGACCCCACACCCTAAGCCCTATATCTCAAACCCTAACCCCAAACCGCCCAAACCCGAAAGTTCTGAACTTCAAGCCCCAAACCCTAAAGCCCTAAATCTGTTTAGTTACCGTGTTGCTGGGAAACCTCGCACAGCTGTACGCCCTAAACCCTAAGCCCTGATGTTGATAATCTTTCCCGATTATGCTGACAGTCCAAAATACTTCAATACGGATTATAGTATGGCCGTATGATAATCCCAGGACTGTTAGTATCAGGGGGGACATCCCAACCTAAACCCCAAACCCAAAACCCTGAACCCTAAACCCTAAACCCTAAACCCCAAACCCTAAACCCTAAACCCCAAACCCTAAACCCCTAAACCCTAAACCCCAAACCCTAAACCCCTTAACCCTAAGCATCGAGTCCTGAAGGCCCCCCCCCCCCCCCCAAATATCCCCAGCAGCCGTCGACTCAAGCTCACTGCACAGCACAAGACGTGCGCGGTGGGTCAGGGTTTAATTCAGGGTTTAGGGTTTAGGGTTTAGTGTTCAGGGTTCAGGGTTCAGGGTTTAGGGTTTCGGGTTTAGGGTTTAGGGTTTAGGGTTCAGGGTTCAGGGTTTAGGGTGGCCGGTTTCGGCCCTTGGCCCTCGCATTCCTTTTGGTTTAGTTGCGCGGGAAGCTGGCAGACTGATTGAAGCGCTTGCCTCGGGCAACCTCGTACCTTTCTAAAGATTCCCCGAGGGTAGGGTTTAGGGTTTAGGGTTTGGGGTTTGGGGTTTAGGGTTTAGGGTTCCGGGTCCTTGAGATTTTATTGCATGGCAGGGGGATCTGAGCTAGGCAGCTGTTTCAGAGGGCTTAAGCCCAGACCAGGCTCGACCCAATCCTAAACCCAAAGCCCCCCCCAAACCCTATGTAAACCTGAAACACCCCAAATCCCCCCGAAACCCCCAAGCCCCTAAGCCCCAAGAAGCCCCCACGCCTTCATCTGAACAGCTGAGCCATGCCCAAGCCGCCATGTCCACCTGGGAAGGATGAGCGGCACTTAGCACAGAATCAAGGAAGGGGAGAGGGGGGGGGGGTGGTGGATGCTTCTGCAGTTGCTGTGGGCCATCCCTGTAGCATTGTCCATGCTGCAATGCATAATGCTGGCCTCGCTTTAGTGTCCAGGCCCCCCCCCCCCCCGCCCCAAACAGTTTTTGGGGGTTTCGGAGATCCTCTTTAGGCTGGGGCGGGGGCTGGGGGTCGAGGGTTGAGATTGAAGCTTGAGGGTCTAAGCTTTCCAGGCTTTGTAGCTCCCTGGCCAGGGGGGCTGCGGATTAATGCGGGTAACCGAAGCCATTTACTAAAAGCGAATCAGGGCAGCTCGTGGGCTACTCCCTTGGAAAATTGTTTGGGGGGCCTGTTTCGTAATGAATATTTACCCATGAAATATTCCCTAAACCGTTTGCCCTAAACCCTAGACCCTAAACAAGCCCTAAACCCTAAGCCCTAAGCCCTAAACCCTAAACCCTAAACCCTAAACCCTAAACCGAGGGTGGCTGTGTCTCTGAGGCGAGCGCTCTCATTGGGGCCTCTTCGACCGCATCGCCAAGACTGCCCACGCCCCGGCCTGCTTTTCCTTAACCCTCAACCCTAAGGTGTTAGGGTTGAGGGTTTAGGGTTAGGGTTTAGGGTTTAGGGTTAGGGTTTAGGGTCGGTTCTGTCTTGGGCGATTGCGCCCAAAACCTAAACTCCACCTATCTCTGTCGCACTCTGCAGGGTTCATGAAGACGGCGTGTCTGGAGGCACACAACCCAGGACGTGTGGCACCCTCAATCCTCCAGTAGTTCTCAGTGCTCAGCTTCCTCCCTAAACCCTCAAAAAGCTTCAACCTTCTCAGCTCTGACTTTCTTAGGTTGCAAAGCATCATGGGCGCTAGGGATGGAGGCCCCTGCACCTAAAGCCTAGTAAGCCCCGAAATCCCCATTGTGCCCTACAGAGCCTAGTAGGCTTACAGCCCTGCAAGCTCAGGTCCGTGATGTGGATGAGCATGGGCAGGTCCGGAGAGGGCAAGTCAGTTCTTTCGAGGGCAGAGGCTTTTACTTTCGGGGCATATTTCACAGATACCCAGATTAGGGGGGGCGTCAGGGGGATCACATGCTTTGGAAGATTGTTCTGAGGCCTTAAGGCGCCAGCAGAGTTTAGGATTTGAGGGGGCTCGGGGTGGGGAAGGGTTAATATGGCCGGGTTTGTAGGTAAAAAGGACAAGTCGTGGTCCAGGAAAACTGCTTGGCAAAAGCTTTGGACCACCCTCCCCCCCCCCCCCCAAAAAAAAAAAAAAAAAAAAAACTGACCCTGGTGGAGAGAACTACAGTACCCGTATTAGAGGAGGCAGGTTGTATCCGTCAATTGTGTTACCTTGCCAAACTCAACTGCGCCATTATTACATGAATTACTCTTCTGAGCTGAGTGTCTGGTGGGCTTAGGGTTGTTTGTGCCCTAAGCCCGATACTACCCTATCATGCAACCCATTGTAGGCCTCCCCTCCCCAGCAAAAACAGCAGCCCAGTTAGCATTAAAAATTTAATCCCCTGAGCCAATAGCCCGGAAGCCCTGAACGACGCCTGAAATCCCCAAGCCTTATGATGCCCGAAGCCCTAAACCCAGGACCCCTGAGCCTCATAAACAAAAAGCCAAAACCTCACACACCCTACCCCCGCCTAAGCAAAAAATGGTTCAAATAGATGCATCAATATATCAGGAATAGATAAATGTATTATAAATGCAATATAGACAAGTAAATACATAAATGATACATGCATGTATATATATATATATGTATACACAATACACATATATATATATATAGATGTATGTTTTTCTCCCTATATGTCATATCTTCGTATCTGAAACTGCCCCTCCCCAGGTGGTGGCCTACAAAAGTCTGGCCTACAACTGTGGGGGCAAGGTGGGGCCTCTGAAGGACTGTGAAGAACTGGTGGATCTTCGGGTTTTAGGGGTTTAGGGTTTTAGGGTTTTAGGGTTTAGGGTTTGAGGGTTTAGGGTTTTAGGGTTTAGGGGTTTAGGGTTTAGGGTGTTAGGGTTTGAGGGTGTCAGGGTTTCAGGGTTTAGTGACCTCAAATGCAACTGAGGGCTTTGGGTTCCACCGAGCGTTAGTGACCCAACAACCCAAACTGTTGCCCCTAAACCCTAAACCTTGAGCCTTAGGGGTCACGAGACCAGATGTCGGGCTTCGGGGTTAGGATTTAGGGTTGAGGATTTAGGGCTCTAGCTCGCAGATCAGCAGAATTTTCAGGGAAAGCCTATAGTCCAACTCTGTACCTGCTGGATCTGAATGTCGGGTATTAGACAGATTCACGGCCAGGGCTCTAAGGAATGTTAGCGCTTTCGTTGTTGGGATGGTACCTGTTTCCAAGTCCCTCGTTTGCGCTGGCGTCGCTACATGGCCTGAGCCTTGCTTCGCAGAACCAAGCCTCAATGTCCCCTCCATGTGAGCACTTTCTCCATGGCGGGCAGGCACTTTCATGCGCTTTTGTCTCCCATCTTCCTCGCCATCCCTGCTTCACCGCACGCTGCTCTCGATGTTGCTTTCTGCTCCGAGCCCCTTAAGCTCCCTGCATCTCCCTGCCTAATTAATGAATGCAAGGGGCCATTCTGTTCTTTCAGCTGGGTGTCCCCTAAACCCTAAACTCAAAGCAACCGCTTCCCTAACGGCTACGCTTCGAGAATCAGCCCGGAGACTCCACTCGAGTTCCGGTTGAGTGGTTTTGGGGAAGCCGTACTAGCTTTAGGTTCCCAACAGCCACGAAGGGACAGTTGAACACAGGGGGCTTCTTTGTCACAGTTACTTGGGTAGCAGTTTACATTTTAAGGGTACTTAAACCCAATAATGAATAACAAAGAAACCTTTTTAATGTTATCCCAACAATGAACTAGGCTTGGGGTTTAGCGGGGCCGTGGGGACTTAGGGGTTTAGGGCTTAATTTGGAGTTTCGGGCTTACTGCTCAAGAACTCCAACCTAGGTAGGCCCTTGAGATATTCTGGTTCTTAGTAGGAAATGAGGGAATTAGGTACCTCATACCCCCTACATGGATATGCAGCCTGTAAGGGATTCTACAGGGTACTTAACCCTAAACCCTAAACCCTAAACCCTAAACCCTAATCCCTAAACCCTAAACCCTAAACCCTAAACCCCACTTCCCTCTAAGAACCAGCAAGTTGAACGCGCGTGGCTTCGCTTGTGCGGGAGGCCGTCGAATTCCGACAGCCGCTGGAGGGCTCCGGGACCAAGTCTCCCAGCTGCGAAGGGCTTAGGGTTTTGGGTTTAGGGTTTAGGGTTTAGGGTTTAGGGTTCCGGGTTTAGGATTTAGGGTTGAGGGTTTAGGGTTTAGGATTCAGGGTTTGAGGTTTTAAGGTTTAAGGTCTAATTAGTGCTTTGGGTTTCAGGGCTCCTGTCAGTGATAGGATAGGTTTCCAAGTATGGTCTCTATACTTACAACCGTATTTGACGTACTTGTCCTGCTGATAACTGCCCATGAACCTTAGGGCTTTTCCCAGAGGACAGGACAGAGCTTCCCCTCTTCGATTCCTAGGACCCTCGGAGCTAGAGTTGGAGTTTAGGGTTTGTAGGGTTTGTAGGGCGTGTGGGGTTAATAGGGTTTAAGGTTTAGGGTTCATAGGGTCAGGATTTGGCGCAGGCCTTCGGCGTTTGTGTCATATAGTTGTGGTACTGGCCCGCCTTCTATCTGACTGACATGCAAGCTGCTGACGGCTGCCTAGGAGCTAGTTCCCAAGACCCAAAACCCCCGTAAACCCTGGAGGCTCATGCATGGCGACTTCGCGCGCAAGATTTCTCCCTCCGAGGCTCCTCTTCTGTTTGTGGGATGAGGGGCTTGGGGGCTCCTGGTGTGAGGTTCAAGGCGTCGGGTTCTGAATAAGCTAAGGGTGGCAAGGACCCGCAATGATCCCTTCTTCCCTTCAGGCAGTCAGGTTCCCTCACGGACCCCCCTCAACAACAACACTGAACCCTAAACCCTGTGTTTTTGGGGTCAGGTTACCGTAGGCCTTTGAGCAACAAGGGTGCCCTTGTGCTGGGATCGTTTCGGGTTGAAAGAGTTTCAAGATCAGGCACAGGGGCTTATGCGAGAAACGGCAGGGCCCTGAGCCCCCCCCAACCTTAGGCCTTAGGCCCCAAAATCCTGCTTCAGGAGGCGCTCGCGACCTTCATCCTCAAGCGACGCTTGGGCGACATGATGCCGAAGCTCTTAAATTTTGGGTACCCTTTATTGTAGGGCTGCGCAGTCTAATGGTAACCCCGAGAGTGGCTATACTATAGAGAAACCACCCACATGCAGCCGTTGTGTTGCTTCATTCCGGTGGCTTGTGGCTGAGGTTTCAGGTTGGTTGCGGCGGAAGCCAGCTCTACACCCAGAACCATGCACAACAGCTTTGCTGCTGCCAAACTGCCAAACCCCCAACCCCCAAGCCCCAAACCCCGAACCCGCAAACCTTAAACTTTAAAGCAACAAAGTATCTCGGGAACTTTTCGACCCAGGGCCCCGTGTCTTCCATGCCCGGCGCGTGCTGGTCGTGGGAGCTGGCTTGGGATCTTGGGCCGCAGTTGGTAATATAGGGGTTGGAATCAATACTAAAAGTATTTCCCCTTTAAACTATATAAATATACTACAATACCCCCAAAACACTATTCTAATGATTAAGGCCCCTATATTGCGTGGGGTTTAGGGCTTTAGCATGTGCTTTGTTGATCTAAACCATGGTCCCTTCTTGCGGGTCCTACCTATGGATCACAAAAGGGGACCGCAATTTAGACCTGGCCATGTCGCTCCGCGCTCGAGGCTTCGCTGGGCTCGTGGCCGGTGCATGCACCAGCGCACGCGAGGCGGCGGCTTCGGCTTCGGGTTTAGCAGCTGAGGGCCACATGAACCTTGAGATTAGGCTCATATACCCTGTATTGCGATAATCCTGAGCTGGGTTCTATGGACGACCAAAATAAACCCCTTTTAGGGTCGATTTCGTTTCCAAGGGCACATCTTGAACTCATGTTTTGTCGTGTGTATTTCGCGGGATTCAGCAGAGAGCCGTTTTGAGCGTTAGATTGGGTTTTGCCTCACAACGGTGCTTTCACTTAGGGTGGTTTGTCGGCATGGTGTTGCGTCTTCTGCCTGATGACTGAAGCTTGCCTTGCCCCTCGGTGCAACTACTGCCTTAGCAAATGCTGGTGCGTGTGCTTTTCGCAAGATGGAGGATACCGGTACCTGCGGGCCAAACGCGCGCTGTCTTCTCAGGCAGTAACCTCTGCAATTCCGTGGTGGGAGGCACAGGAGGAAGCACATGGCATGTTAGCTCGTTTGGTCGCGTTCTGTCTCCAAACGGTTGCGTCAGTTATGGCTCCCTGAAGCCTTCGGGATACCGAGTAGCGCAGATTGATCGGAGAAACTTTTATGTCCATCGGCTGGTCGCTCTTGCATTCCGTGGCCCCCCGCCAACTGTGGAACACTGGCAAGTCAACCACCTTGATGGTTGCCGTTTCAACAACCACCTTAGCAACCTCGCATACGCAACCCCTGCGCAGAATGCGTGCCATTCCTGGACCATGCGCCATCGTCGTGGTCTCCATACCAGGAATGCGAAACCTGTCCTTGGACGAAGATGCGGGACTGAGCTCTGGTTGTCCTACCCCTCGCAGGCAGAGGCAGCAAGAGCATTGGGACTTTCTGCATCTCAAGTCTCCATGTGCTGCCGCTTGGGAACGAAGAGTTGTCATCGAGATGGCACGCGGTATGAGATGAAATTTGCAGATGGCCCAGAAGATGGGCCAGAGCCTCAGCAGCGCGAAATTTGGGCACGTGCCATGTATCCAAGCAGAGCAGCTTTAAATTTATGTGCCATTCACGGCCTGATGGTCAGTAGCTTTGGGCGAGTTCGGTTCACACTGGAAAACCGCGTGACTTTTGGAACTCGTAGACCTGAGGGGTATTTCAATGTTCAACGTGCGGGCCGATTCCTGCTAGTACACCGGCTAGTGGCAGGAACATTCTTAGGCCAGCCAGAGACCGGAAGCACGCACGTGAATCACATCGATGGCAATCCGGGAAACAATCGCTTGTGTAATCTGGAGTATGCCACACCTTCCCAAAACGTAACTCACGCGATCACGCTCCGTAAGGGGCAAGAGCAACGGCCAAGAACTGGCAAGGCTGTGCTGGCATGCCGCAACCGCAAGGGACTTCACCGCGAGCAGCAGTGTTTCGACTCAATCCAGGCAGCGGCTTTGCAAACCGGGGTCAGCGCCACTACCATTTCAAAAGCTTGCAGAGGGCACCAGGCCCGAAGTTTGGAGTGGGAGTTCAAGTTTGCGGCGGATGAGTGCCTGCCTGGTGAAGAGTGGCGGCAAGTGGTGTTAGAAGGAGCTCGGGTGAAGTGGCCTTGACTCCCCCCTTACTGAGTGAACCTCCTTCATCCTGTGGACGAAAGCTGTTCAGGTGAGGGTCAGTTGTAGAACTTCTGCATCGTAACATGGACCGCCTACACAGTGGCCGGCAGTAGAGGGCCTCAATAGCAGCACGACCCAGAAGATGATGGACAAGCGGCTCCTTCCATGGTCAGCTCAAAAGAGATCGTTACAAACGCCGGCGACAAGCTCTGGGCATCACCAAAACCGAGCTCTGACCGAGCTGTGTCGATGCGTGTAACAATGGTCATTCAAAAGCCAAGATCATTCATCACCTCTCAGTTCAGACGTGCGGCTGCTATAGATCACCACCTACCAGCACCAGTAGTGACAAAGGAGGAGTTTAGGGCCACATTTAGGGATTGGGATCACAGAGTGTAGACAACAAGCTGGGATTGGCTACAAGTAACGGGCATCTCCAAACACTACTAACCCTGCAACCAGCACCACCTTAACCCCCCAAACCCAAACCCTCAACCACCACCTTTGAGGGTGTAGAGTTCAGAATCACCTTGGAGTCTTGGGTTTCTGGACCCTTCAGAAATCAGAGGCCTTAGAGTACTCTGTTGGGATGCTCCCCCTTCTACCAAGGGAAATAGTAGGGTACTATCATCCCGATCAAAGGACTGTTCGTATAAAGGGGGAACATTCCAAGTGATCTGCGTTGGGCCCCTCCGTGAGATCGGTGCTTGCAGGTGCTGCTAACCGACGGTGATCCGGAGGCCTCCCTGGGTTTAGGGGTGTAGGGTTGTTGGGTTTAGGGTTTAGGGTTTGGGGTTTAGGATTTAAGGTGTACAGTGTTTTTTCCGGGCTTAGGGCTTATAGGGTTTGTGGGGTGAATAGAGTTTAATCAGCGTGTTTTGAGGAGATGTGTTTTTTTTTGGAACGGTGTGAGGAGGTCTGAATACCTTGGGAGCTGTTTTCCGTGGAATCTACCGTCAACTTGTTTGACATGCACGCGTGACATCCCAGGATTCGGATGATGTAGGAAACCGAGAATCCGAAAGCGAGTGGAACCATGACGCAACAGCATGGACTCGTTGGCCAAGGTCTCAGAACAAGGAGTAAGCGCAACCCGGAACCCTAAACGGGCCCCCAACCCCCCATCCAAAGCCCCAAACCCCAGCGGCCTAAATCGGCCCTCAACCCCCCATCCAAAGCCCTAAACCCCAAAAGCCTGAAGCCATTCCAAAGCCGCAGCCCCGAAGAAAGCGAGAAGATGCTGAGGTGGTACGGGTGCTGGAGACGTCTCTGCAGCTGCTTGCTTTGTAGTACTTAGCACTGGTTGAACTTTAAAGTTTTGGGCCGCCCTCCCTTTGTCTAGGAACAATCCATGCAGTATGTACCTAAATCCTGAACCCTCAGGCCTCTCCTGAACCTGAACCCTAGAAGCCCTACGCCCGTTAGTCTTCCCTGGTTATCGGAGAAGAAACCCGATATCTAAGCCCCTAAGCCCTCTGAGCCCCAGGCCCGTTCTGTCTTTTGTCTTCCATGACGGTTATTGAAGAAGTTCTTGGAGGTTCATGGGTCGTCCTACGTAGGGTTGTAGGTCTGGTAATCATAGCTATCATCCTACTTATAGGTAACGTACTTAGAACTGAACCTCCAAGCAAGGCTCAACCATGGCGCCTTCGACGAGTCCCGGGTGGCCGTGCAGCAGGTGCTTTGGGCCGATGCCTCGGAGTGGGATGGTTCTTTTTGTTTTGTTAAGCTGTTTGGTGGTGTAGGGCTCAGGGTTTAGCGTTTGGGGTTTAGGGTTTGGGGTTTAGGGTTTAGGTAGATTTGTGGGGCGGGTAGAGAAATTGCTCCTTGCCGAGAACGTGATGATTCAGAATCACAAGGGTAAGAAGCACCCGAAGCCCTAAACCCTCAACTCCAAAAAGCCCTTACAACCCTCAAAAGCCCCCAAATTCGAAAGAGCCATAAAAGTCCTCAACAGCTCTAAACAGCCCATAACAGCCCTTAACCGCCCCAAAAAAGCCTAAACATCCCAACAACCACAAACAGCCCTTAAAGGGCCCTTAATAACGGCCCCTAAAAGCCCCCGAAAAAAGTACTTAAAACTCAACAGTTTGCAAGGACCGCATGGAGCAGTGGCCGCCACGCCATTCCTTCGACCTGGTTATAGGGGCTGACGTCGTGTACCTGGAGGACCTGCATGGCTTAGGGTTTAGGGCTTTGAGGGCTTTTAGGGTTCAGAGTTTAGGGTGTAGAGTTTAAGGTTCGGGGATCAGGTTTTAGGGCTTTGGGTTGAGGATTGAGAGTTCCCAACAGCACCTCGTGAAGGCTCATGGGTAGCTACAAGTAGTTCGAGGAAGACCGCAGAGAAGCTTTCAACCAGCCATAACCCCAGTTCACCCCTACTCGAAGTTTGCAAGTTCCCGAGCTCCGAGCCTCGAAGCCCCAAATGAGCACCCTAAGACCCTGCAAAGCCGTACACCCTAAACCCTGTAAAGCCCCTAAGCCTGTAAGCCCGAAACTTACAAGACCGCAGATGCCCAACAAAAAGACGCCCCGAAACCCTAGGAACCCCTACACGCAAAAAACCCAAACCCCAAAGCAATCTTGAACTTCAGACCTGGGCCGCCCCAGGACTTGCACTGGGCTCTGCTCGAGATGCTCCTGAGGGTGCTGCGGCCGGGAGGCATGTAGGGTTTAGGTATAGGGTTGGGTTTCTGGGGTTTATGGGGTTTATAGGATTTGCAGGGTTGAATCATAGTGTCGTTTATAGTAGGGAGGATTTATAGGAATTACAGGGTTTATGAGGTTTGCAGGGTTGATAGGGTTCAGGGTGGTGTTAGGATCTGTAGGGGGATAACAGTGCTGTCTCGGCAGCCCAGTCCGGAATGCTTACAATTGGGGTTCAGGATTTATGGGGTTGCAGGGTTGTGTTCTTGTCGGCGTGTTCGGCAGATTCTTCCGGAGGTACCAGTTTGCATGTTGTTGCGTAAGGGCTGTGTTGGCTTCACCATAGGCCTATGCTGTTTAGGGTTGAGGATGGGCGCTTATGGCTTCGGAGCATGTCCCACAGGCACCCTTGTCGAGGCTTATGCTTGTAAGTGATAAACCCTCAGAACGCTTGGTAGCCCAGTCGTACCCTTTGCCCTTTTTTCGTGCTGGGTTCCTGTGTTTTTAGTAACCAACCCCAAAAAGGTGCCCTTATTATAACATGGTTGCTGGGCTACCAAGAACCCTTACGTCTAAGGGCACATGCGCCTTCAAGTGATCCCCCCAAGCACCCACTACAAACCCTAAAAACCCTAAGCCCCAAAACCCTAAACCCTAAACCCTGGGAGGACAGTTCCTCCTCTTCGCATCGCGCCGAAATGGCTCCCTGGAGAACCTTGTCTGACGGGGCCGCCATGCACCAAGCTCACCCTAAACCCCAAACCCTAAACCCCAAACCCTAAACCCGAAAGCCTAAACCTTGAGTGCTCGGCTTCGGCGTGTTTGGGGTTTAGGACTTACACCTCGTGGCCGCCCCTAACCCCACAAGCCTTAAATCCCGAAACTAAACCCCCTAACCCCTTAAAACTCCCCAAAGCCCTCCCCCTCAAAAAGACAAGCAACAGCAAAAAGTCAACAAAAACAAACTTCACCCACTTCCCCCCCCTCCCCCCGAAAGAAAAATAACAAAATCAGAGAAAAGATGAAAAACAAGAAAAAAAATCACTGGCCCTTCCAGGAAGTTCCTGGCAACATCGAAGTCGGTGTTCTCCACCGTGGAGGTGGGGGCTGCCCGCATTTCCACCAACTGGACCCTGAACTGTTTTAGGGTTTAGGGTTTAGGGTTTAGGGTTTAGGGTTTAGGGTTTAGGGTTTAGGGTTTAGGGTTTAGGGTTTAGGGTTTAGGGTTTCGGGGGCCTTTTCGGGCCTAGGGGTTTGCGACTTCGGGTTTCGGGTTTGGGCTCTAGGGCTCGGGAGCCCTACTCCCCATATACCCTCATACAAACAGAGAGGAATGGCTTTTCAGTGCCCCACCTCGTATACAGGGGCTTTTCGGGTTTGGGGCTTTAGGGTCATGAAGTTCCCAACCCCGCAGGCAGGTTTTTTTTGGGGTTTGGAGCTTTGGGGTCATGTAGGGGCGGCCTTAAGGTTGTAGGACAGAGGTTTTTGAGGGCTTGAGTCTGAATGGGGCTTCAGGGTTTTCAGGTTTTGTTGGCCTTCTGCTTTTCCCTTGGGGTTAGGGCAAGTGCCCCTCAGCCCTTTTGTACAAGAAATGGTTCACTTTAAACCCTGGCCCTAAACCCTAAACCCTAAACCCCAAACCCTAAAGCCTAAACCCTAAACCCTAAACTCTAAACCCTAGTCTAACTGCAATTCGGTCACTGACCTGGGAAGGTCTCAACGGACTACGATCCCGACGTGGACCAGGCCATCGGCCGGAGCTCCAAGTGAAACTCGCTGGCAACATGCGGTTTAGGGTTTAGGGTTTAGGCTTTAGGCTTTAGGCTTTAGGAGCTTGTGTGACAAGTCATAGCTTTTTCCCTCATTGGGCCTGAACTCATCTGGGAACATCTTTTCAAGAGGTGGAGGATGCTAAGTCCCTCCAACTCAGCAAGGGGCTTGAGAGTGAGAGCCTTCTGAGATGAACTCCAGTTTCTCTGGGTTTTCCCCCCCCAAAACCACACATGCAAAGCCGAACCCCGAACCCGCCGAACCCTATAAGTTTCTGAGTTCAAGGCTTCCCTGTCTTCGCAAAGCTCTCTGTGCCCGCAGAGGAGCGAAGAAGGGCTCTTGCGGGGGGAACTGGGCTTCCGGGTTGTGCATGATCATCCCGTCTAGTGGTGGGTGTGTACCTATAGGTGCTGTTGATCATCGAATCCTTGACAGCAGCCCTCAAAACGGTACCCACATAAACATACTGAACAGCTTCTCCTACAAATACCCATTCCAGCTGACCCTAAGCCCTATAAATCCTGAATACGTAGGCCCCTATCTTCGATCATACAGGGAAATTCGCGGAAAGCTCTACTTGGCCCTAAAAGGGGTACCCAGTCGCTCTGGCTCTAGGAAAGCCTGATTTCCTGAAGCTTAACCCCTGAGTTTAGGGTATGTAGTACGTGCCCGAAACCCAACCGTTGCAAACAAATCGCCTTGAAGACACAAAATCTCAACCTCGAGCGGAAAAAAGGTTTGGTTGCGTGTCTTGATCTTGTGTGAGATAGGTTTAGGTTTAGAGTTTACAGGGCTCAGGGCTTGGGGTCGAGGGGTTGACTGTGACTCAAGCCTCCAAACCCTAAACCCTAAACCCTAAACCCTAAGCCCTAAGCCCTAGGCCCTAAACCCTAAACCCTAAACCCTAAACCCTAAACCCTTACTGCCTCTGTGACCACTCGAGGAGGCCGAGGACACGCAGGCAGTGCTGGAGTTGCGACGCCAGTTTGCCGAGCGGCATGCGGCCGAACTGCGCAAGGTGACTGGGGGAGTCTCTAGGTTTAAAAAGTCAAGGGGTATGGCTTACAGGGGTTGAGGGCGTTAGGGTAACCAAAGATAGCAAAAGCCATTTTACGGAATCTTCGGCTAAACAACAAAGATTCTGAAGCCTTTATACAGCCATAAAGGCCTGTGAGTGCTAGGCTCAGGGGCCGAGAGGTTCGGCGCCCCCTTGGACAGGCCGAGCGTGCTGAGCGACGTCGCGTCAAGGCCAGCATTCCGAAGAGCATCACCTTGGGGGCTGAATGAGCCCGAACAGGATTTATGGTCCATAGACCCTAAAGGCCGTAAAGGGGACTATTATAGCATTGGGATCATGACCCCCAATTTTAAGGATCTGGTCCCCAAAGGAAGTGGAAACTACAGGTGTCCGTTCACTTGGCAACGGTTACGCAACAAGCGCAAGCTGGCTCGACATAGTTCGACAGTGTTGCTTGTGACTCACGAGGGCTGGACTGGAATCGGCAATAGTTGCCCAAGTCCTGTAAACCTTAAAGCCTAACTACATGAGTTCTGTATCCCCCGGTACTGTATTCTTTCCACCTAAAGCATGTGTAGCGTCTAGGGTCTAGGGTCATGTGTAGAAAACATATATGTGAGAATCCTTCGTATTCGGGGAAGAAACTGCTGAACCTTGAATACCCAAAACTCTTTCAACGTCATCAAAGATAGAGATACCCTAAACCCTAAACCCTAAACCCTCAACCCTAAACCCTCAACCCTAAACCCCCACTTCATTCCCTGCACGCGCATCCCGTCAGGCGAAAGCGGCTCACCGTGCCAGGCGCCTTTTGAGATGGGGCTCATGTTTGACAACACAGTGTTAGACAGGTTTTTTGGTTTCTTGGAGGTGTCTTTTCATATTGTTTAGGGTTTAGGGTTTAGGTAGGAATAGTGGCCCGAATGGTTACAATTACAAGCTTCTAGCTAGTATTCGAAAAGAGATGGTGCTTTCATAATCTTCATTTGGTGTTTCGCTTTGCCCTTGATTTCTGTGATTTCTCAACAGGTGCCAAGGACAGCCCAGTAAACCCTAAGACCCTGAAGCACACAGGACATCCCAAGTTCTCTCTCTCCCTCTCTCACTCACTCTCTCTCTTTATCTGTATGTATAAATATATGTTCATGTGTATGTTTGCGTTTAAGTTTACATTTCCATATTTACGGATTTGCTTTTTCATGATTCTTGGGGGGGGGGGGGGGGAAGCCCAGGGCTCGATTCTAGGACCGAGCCCCGCGGCTTTTGAACCCGGGAGGTCGTGACGCCAGCGTCCCACGGACCTCCTACCACGCGAAGCCACACAACCCTGAAGCTTTACGGTGTATAGGGTGTGGGGTTTCTAGGGTTTTATAGGGTTTGTAGGCTAGAGGGTTTTGGTGTCGTGTTAAGGGTCCATAGGGTTTTGGGTTTTTTTCAGGGTTTAGGGCCAACTTGACGTAAGCGACCCAATTCACACGTCTGTGGTTGCCTTGGGACCCTAAACCCTAAACCCTAAACCCTAAACCCTAAACCCTAAACCCTAAACCCTAAACCCTAAACCCTAAACCCTAAACCCTAAACCCTAAACCCTAAACCCTAAACCCTAAACCCTACTCGGCAGGAGCCAGTCTCTTCTGGCAAGACGCGAACGCCGACTGCAGGCTCAAGAGGAGGAGGCGCGAAAAGGGGCTCCCGGCAGATCTTCCCTGTATGGCTACTAGGGTTAGGGTTTAGAGTTTAGAGTTTAGGGTTTAGGGTTTAGGGTTTAGGGTTTAGGGTTTAGGGTTTAGGGTTTAGGGTTTAGGGTTTAGGGTAGTTGTGTAAGAACCCACACCCAAAAGGACAAAAGACATTCTTCCGTATAAGCGGAACATAGGGATTCTTTTAGCTTTCAGAAAAGCCCCCAAACAAAACAAAGGATATTCTCCCTTGTAAGGCTAATATGGGAAAATGTTCTTTTATTGTTTTTTTGGGAGGTTGTGAAGCAAATAGTAGATGGTGAATTCTGGGTTTAGGGTTCAAGGCTTAGGGGCCAGGATTTTGGGCGTAAGGTTAAGGGATGTAAAGTTCAGGGGTTAAGGTATAGGGTTTGGGGGACGTGTTGGGACATATTTGGGTTGCCCTAAGTATGTGGGGCAAAAGGGGCCACATCTTCGAGAGCTGAGCGTGGAGCCTTATGCTTGCTCCTTTTCCCTATGTTACATGTTCAAAGCGTGTAGCAAACACCGAAAGATTGGGGTCCACTTATCCGGGGAGGTGAATCTAACATTTGTCTCCCAAACTCTCTAGCTTGAACCTACAAAAGGCTGCTTGCGCAAAGCGCGGACAGAAGAGCCTCTTTTCGAATCCATTGCAGCTGATTGAGAACCCTCAAGCCCTCGAACCATTGAGCCTTGGAAGCCGTAGATTCCCTCAATCCTGACACGGCCCGCAGGCCTACATTCAAAAAAACGTACGGAACCACTTGGGCTCGCATGCCCTCAAGACCCCAAACCCGAAAACCCTAAACCCTGCGCAGACCTCAAACTCTATACACCCCAACCTAAACACGAAACACCCTAACGCCTGAAGAACCTTACAAGCCCTAACCCTAAGCCCTAAGCCCCAAGCCCCAAGCCCTAAACCCTAAACCCTAAACCCTAAACCCTAAACCCTAAACCTTAAACCCTAGCAAAGGCGGCGCTGCCTCTCGCACCACCTGAGCCGAGCGAGCCGAGCGCGCCGAGGAAGCCGCTGCGGCCCACGGCGGAGATCGAAGGCAGTTCTGGGCTTCAGGGGTTTGGGGTTTGGGGTTTAGGGTTTTGGGTTTTGGGGTATAATTGGGATTTCGGGTTTTTAGGGGTTTGGGGTTTAGGGTTAAGGGTTTAGGGTTAAGGGTTTCGGGTTTAGGGTTGAGGGTTTAGGGGTCTAGGGTTTGGGGGTTTAGGGGTTTGTAGGGGTTTTAGGGGTTTAGGGGTTTGGGGGTTTAGGGGTTTGGGGGTGTACACCTGGAGACCAGACCAAAATGCATGAGTTTATAAATATAGAGATGCACAACTAGCCAGGGTTGTACAACTGGGCAACCAGGGACTTTGACAACTGCTCCACAATTGGGACCCTAAACCCCACAACCCTAAACAATCTAAACCTAAAGTCCTGCAAATTATAAACCCTAAACCCTATAAACCCTCAACCCAAAATGGAAGGAGGATGGTTTTCTCAAGTGGCCTAAACCCCTTCGAAGCGTGTTTTGGATGGGAGGTTTGGTCCAGGGGTACAAGGCTGCACGCTTCGTCCGCTTCGTCTGGGCGGGCCTGCCTGTGTACTATATACCCGAAGAACCCAAAACCCTGAAACCCTAAGCCCCCTAAAGACCTAGGCCCTGATACCTTTTTTTGTTTAGACCTGCTTGCCGACCAGGGCGCTCGGATTGGGGCCTCTTCGAGCGTGAGTGTGCCGGAAACTCAGCGTTTCGGGAGCGGGATTTGGGTGTAAGCATGGCTCCATCGACATGGGATCAACTGCGGCACGGTGTCCTGGAGCTTAGGTTGGGGGCTATAGTGTTTAGGGTTTAGGGTCTTGGTGAGGAGGGCCCAAGTCAGAATCCAAAGAAAGCCGCTGGGTAAGGAAGCCATGTGCGCTTGCGTTGATCAGTTGAGGTGAACCATGCAGATTTCAAAGAGTTCACCTACAACTGCGAGGGCCACAAGGCACCCGCCAAAGGGGTGGTTGGTGATGTCCGGAGTTTGCAACGGTCGGTTCTGCAGAGTGTCCTTAAGGGTTAGGGTCTAGGAGTTTATAGGGTTTCATTAGGGTTTCTAAGGTTTAGCGTCCTTACCGAAGAGAACTTCAAGGTTCCCTTGTGTTCAATCGCTGGGCTGTTGAGAAAGGGTTCATCCACATGGTGGTTCTGCCAAATCAGACCCCAAGTCACGGGGCCTGATGACTTGGAATAGGGCTTTGGGGGGGGTGGGTCATTCTAGTATACATATACAGGGACCCTAAGGGAATAATATTAGTAATTATTCCGACCTACATTATTTCCAAAACCCAGTATTTCCAACGTGTCCTCATTGCTAGGGGGAAGCCTTGGTGAAGAGTTGGCGCCAAAAGCGCGTGCAAGACAAAGCAGCAGCACGCAGGTAAGCACTAAGCCCTACTCCCTGAACCCTAAACCCTAAATCCTAAACCCTAAATCCTAAACCCTAAACCCTAAACCCTAAACCCGAAACCCCGGCACAGGTGCGCCTCCACCGCACGCCATCTTCCCCCCGGATCTCTGCCTCGGCGGAGTCCCTGGCCTGCTGGGCGCCTTTCCGTTTTGGTCAGGAGGGTTTAGGGTTTAGGGTTTGGGGTTTAGGGTTGAGGGTTTAGGGTTTAGGGTTTGGGGTTTAGGGTTTAGGGTTGAGGGTTTAGGGTTCAGGGTTTGGGGTTTGGGGTTTAGGGTTTGGGGTTTAGGGTTTATGGTTTAGGGTTGAGGGTTTAGGGTTTGGGGTTTGGGGTTTGGGGGTTGGGGTTTGGGGTTTAGGTTTAGGGTTTGGAGTTTGGGGTTTGGGGTTTGGGGTTTGGGGGTTGGGGGTTGGGGTTTGGGGTTTAGGGTTTGGGGTTTGGGGTTTAGGGTTTAGGGTTTAGGGTTTGGTTTAGGGTTTGGGGTTGGGCGTTTAATTTGGGTTCGGGGTTTGGGGTATAATTTCGTGTCGTCTTTTGCGGGTTTGTAGGGAGGTGTGTGGAGCTTCGGCTTTGTTGCGGGAGTTTAGGCCTCAGCTTCCTTCATTCTGGAGTCTCAGAACTCGAAGCAGTCCTCGAATGAGCGGTTCTGTGGAAGGCTTGGAGTTCCGCTTAGGCTGTTTGAGGGATTAGGGTTTAGGGTTTAGGGTTTAGGGTTTAGGGTTTAGGGTTTAGGGTTTAGGGTTTAGGGTTTAGGGTTTAGGGTTTCGAACCATTCGTACAGAGCGAAAGGCTCGGGCTGTTAGCTGTTGTTGGCTTACCCCTATCAGGGCCTACTTCAACCTCAAGCCCTCTGAAGCCCTAAGCCCTAAACCCTAAACCCTAAGCCCTAAACCCTAAACCCTAAACTCTATGCCGCGCCTCTTCAGAAGACTTGCTTTCTGTGGACTTAGGCTTTGGCACTCGGGAGTTGGTAGATGGACCTTAAACCTCAGCCCTTGAGCCCTACACCCGCCCCCTAAAAGCTACATCCGAAACCCTTAAACACCCTAAACCTCCTAAACCCTGAGCCCTAAACCCTAAACCCTATACCCTAAACCCTAAACCCTAAACCCTAAACCCCCCGAAACCCTTTAAGCAAGACTGCAAGGTGCTGAGGCATCCCCGCTGCTTTCGCCGGCGCCGTGTGCTGGAAGTAGGCCCCAGGGCAGCAGGTTTCGGGTTTCGGGTTTCGGGTTTCGGGTTTATAAGTTTGGGGTTTATGGGGTTTAGGGTTTAGGGTGTAGGGTTTAGGGTTTAGGGATGTTTTAGGTTTGGGTTCAGGGTTTAGGGTTTGATGTTCAGGGATGTTTGAGGTTGAGGGTGTACTGGTTTGTGGATGTTTGGGATTCGGGACTTCGGTCCGGTCTTTGTTGGGGAAAGATATCTTTGCTATGACGCCTGAAGGCCACCCAAAAACCCGCCTGCCTGATCCGGTTTGGGTTTAGGGTTTAGGTTTCTCTCGTCGTCCCACCGCGTTCCCCTTTCTTTGAGGGTTACGAAGGAGTCAACACCCTCACGGCCATGAAGTCCCAAGGGAGTGGAGGTTCTTACCGGGATTTTTTTGGGGTCTCAGGTTCAGGGTAACCCTGAACCCGCCCCAATCCATGGTAAGTTGTGCTTAAGCCCCAAACCCTAAACCCCAAATCCAAAACCCGAAACCTGAACCCCTACACCCCAAACCCGAAACCCTCTACTGTCAACCCCAAACCCTAAACCCCAAACCCTAAACCCTAAACCTTAAACCCGAAAGCCCAAACCCCAAACCCTAAACCCCAAACCCAAAACCCTAAACCCTAAAACCCAAGCCTTGAACCCTAAATCTCAAACCCTAAACCCTCCCGGCTTCCAGTTCTCCCAGGCGCGGGTCAAGGCCTGCCGGGCCTTCTCGTGGCGGCCGCTTGGCTTCCGAAGCCCTAAACCCTAAACCCTAAACCCTAAACCCTACACCCTAAACCCTAAACCCTAAACCCTAAACCCTAAACCCTAAACCCTACACCCTACACCCTACACCCTACACCCTACACCCTACACCCTACACCCTACACCCTACACCCTAAACCTTACAAACCCTAAACCTTACAAACCCTAAACCCTAAACCTTATAAACCCTAAACCCTAAACCCTAAACCCTAAACCCTAAACCCTCAACCCTCAACCCTCAACCCTCAACCCTCAACCCTCAACCCTAAACCCTAAACCTGCCGCGCCCCTGAGGCCAGCGCGGAGGCCAAGCACGTGGAGTTTAGTGACGGCGACCCGCTGGCGCTGGAGGCCACGGGACTGCATATTGGGGTTTAGGGTTTAGGGTTTAGGGTTTATAAGGTTTATAAGGTTTAGGGGATGGGGTACCCTTTTTTGGGAGGGATTCTGTTCTATTTGGGGTATATTATATGGGGGCACGACCCCTATTTTGGGAAAAGCCTATACGAAGTAGGGTTTATATTCCTTGTATCCTCCAATATATACGCTCACCAATATTTACAAGGAACCATATATACACTCGTCAGTATCAGTCATATAAACCCTGTTTCATGTACCTTGGACCCGCTCTGTACTCTTGGGTTTGGGGACCCTTTGTAAAGATTTTCTGGAGGGAAGCGGTGCGCCCTCAGGGGTCCAAGTTGTTCTCAACTTCTTAAAGTTTGAGGGTTGCCCTAAACCCTGAACCCTAAACCCTAAACCCTAAACCCTAAGCCCGCGATTTGGGGATTTGGGCTGTCGATGGTTCCTATCATAGGGGGTATTCCTTGGCAGCAGTCGAATCCCTCCCAAAAGGAGCACCTGCAAAGCAGCTAAGATCGGCTAAGCGGCTATATTGTTTTGGTTTTTGTTGCTTGCTTGGAGGCTTTTAGGGTTGAGAATATTCAATATTCTAGGGATTTAGGGTTTAGGGTTTAGGGTTTAGCTTTGGGGTTGTTGTTGGGATTGAGGGCTTGGCTCGGGGGGTTCAGCCCGCACGCGCCCTCCACCCCCTTCCCCCCGGCCTGCCCCCCACTTCGAGGTTGAGGGTTTAGGGTTTAGGGTTCAGGGTTTAGGGTTAAGGGTTAAGGGCAGCAAAAATTCTCCACTTCTAGAAGACTTCCAAGGCCTTGGCTGATGCGGTGAAGCTGAACGAAAGCTCCTTCGTAGCCGCTGGGGCATGCCACGGTTAAGATATTCGGGGCAGCCGAGTGCTAATTACTAGCCTGTGATTTGCTTAAGAACCCTTAAAAAGAATACAGAATACAGTAATATAACAATAGTCCCTATATTGCCCTTAGAAGGAAGAATTTGTTTATTTTTTGGGGGGTTCTTAAGCAATGACTAGTAACCCCACCCGAAACACCCCAACGAGGCTTACAAGGAGAGTCATGTCCGCCCCCTACTGGAACCAGTAGGAGCATTTGGGAGACGAGGAATGGCGCGGTTAAAGAACCCTGAACCCCAAACCTTTAGTCCCACCGCTCCCTACATTGAGTTGTATAGGACAACGTATCCTGAGAACAAAAAGGAGAAATCAAGACGTGCGGTATTGAGTCATTACTATCTCCTAAACCCGATACCCTTAACCCGAAACCCTAAACCCTTGACTCCCCATCAATTTGAAAGCAGGTCTTCTCTACCAGAGCGTACCTAGAATCATGTAATCCAAACTTCCTTCAGGTCCACCTATTCTCATGAGAGAGTCTCCTCAACAAGCTCCTAAGCCCCAAGCCCTGAACCCTGAAGCCTAAACCCTAAGCCTAAACCCTAAACCCTAAACCCTAAACCCTAAACCCTAAACCCTAAACCCTAAACCTAAACCCTAAACCCTAAACCCTAAACCCTAAACCCTAAACCCTAAACCCTAAACCCAAACCCCAAACCCTAAACCCCAAACCCCAAACCCTAAACCTCACATCATCTTTGTAGGCAGATTCCACGTCAGTGTCCCGGCTGTCCTTCGGTGACGTGCTGGCTGGGAGGAAGTTCGCGCCTTGCACGGTGAAAGTCGGGTGTATTCAAGTGAGGTGTAGAAAACCTTAGGGTTTGGGGTTTAGGGTTTAGGGTTTAGGGCCCTGAAAAAACCCAAAGACCTTAAACGTTCAAACACCCAAAACTGTCACTTCGGGTGTATGGAAGTCGACTTAGGAGTTTCTTAGCCCCAAAGCCTGTGAACCCGATTAAACCCTATAAAAACCCGATAAAACCCTATAAAAACCCTATAAAAACCTCTAGAAACCCTATAAACCCTATAAACCCTACACACCCTCAAGAGTTGTGCGTTTTGCGGGTGAGGGCCACAGAGGCAGGGTCAGGGTTCATTTCCCAGGCAACAAACAAGGTCTGGCCCGAGACGCTGATGCTCATGATGCCCAGTTTGGGCTGCCTAGCCCCGAAGGCATGTTGCAGCAGATGCTCATACTGCTCGGATTGGGCTGTCTGGGCCCTAAAGACCTTTTCAGCTGATGCTCAAGATGTTCGTTTTGGTTGCGATGCTCCTCATTTGAGTTGCTCGGTCCCACAGGGCCTGTTGCAGCTGATGCTCAGAAGGAGGGCTCCCTAAACCCTAAACCCTGAACCCTAAACCCTAAACCCAGGATTTGGGGCTTAGGTTGCCCAAGTCTATATACTTGAGATTTCGGGCCATTCAGGCTGCGAGGTCGAGTTCGGTCCACACTCGAGTCTGGGATTGGGCTTTGGGTGCTGAGCATGTGACCGTTTAGCCTCTTTTTTTTTTTTGGGGGGGGGGGGGGTTATATGACAGCCCCCTGGGCCTGGGCGGAGTGTGGGGCTTAGGTTTTTGCAAGGAAGGTTTGGGTTAATATGGGTTCGTGGTCTCTTTAGGTAGGGCTTCTGTCATAAAAGGCAAAAATTCGGGGTTCTTCTTTAGCGTGGATCATCGCGCATGGGGCAAGCATGCGCAAGACTGCTGACGTCAAAATCCCCCCCGCCCCCCGCCCTCTCCGATTTACAGTCCCCTCGGAATTGTACTATGATAATCCCCAAAACCCTATTCTCATCATTCAAGCCCTACGCAGTTGCGGTTCATGTTTTGGGCTTCGGAAGGCCCATGCCTCAGGATTGGATCATCGCATCGGATATCCTGGAAACAAAGGCCGGGGGTTTAGGGTTTAGGGTTTAGGGTTTAGGGTTTGGGGGTTTAGGGTTTAGGGTTCAGGGGGGGGGGGGGGGGCAAACAGAGTCTCCTTGGAGTCTCCATGGTCTGAGGTGGGGTGGGATACTTGGGAATACTTGTTTGTATTTCATTTTGGGTGCCATACTTCGTAAGAGGCAGCTGAAATGGTAACTTTTGCGAGAGCTCCAAGTTCACAGCTAAGCTGAACCCTGCCTTGGCCCAGTCTCCCGCCACCAGAATCCCCAAGTCAGGCCCAAACACCCCCTTTGGGGTGCACGAGTTTCCGAATTTCGGAGGCATTGCAAATCCTAACCCAAAACCCTAAACACTCAACCCCAAACCCTAAACCCTAAACCCATGTTAGGGTTCACAGGTTCGAGGCTGTGAGGGCCTAGAAAGTGTAGGGGGCAGGGCTTCCGAGCCTGCCCACTACAGTGCCCCTGGGATGGCCTTGGAGCGGACATGGCTTTCGGATTTAGGGTTTAGGGCTAGGGTTTCGGGTTTAGGGTTTAGGGTTTAGGGTTTGCGGTTTAGGGTTTAGGGTTTAGGGTTTAGGGTTTAGGGTTTAGGGTTTAGGGTTTAGGGTTTAGGGTTTAGGGTTTAGGGCTAGGGTTTAGGGTTTCGGGTTTAAGGTTTTGTTAAGCCGTCCCTGACCAGGATCACCATGCAACCCTGCTCCACAGCTTCCGCAAGCTGCTGACTCTTGCACTTCAAGGGGCTTGGCGGGGAGCTTGGGGCAAGCGGGGCTTCTAAACCCTAGCCCTAAACCCTAAACCCTAAACCCTAGCCCTAAACCCTAGACCCTAAACCCGAAACCCTTAGAGGGCTTTTGGGTTTACAGGGCTTGGAGCTTCGGGCCTCAGAGGGTGTAGGAGTCTCTGGGCTGACAGTTCGAGCCGGTTAGGGACCCCCCTGAGTGAGTCCAGAACTCTCCGATCCCAGCTCCAATGCCCTAAAGCCCTGAAGGCCTAACCCTAAACCCTAAACCCTAAACTGTAAACCCCCGAAGTACGACGCCGTTTGCCATTTCAAACCGACGGTCCCAGCAGACAGATCCCAAAGGGTTTAGGTTTTGTCCTGCTAAACCCTAAACCCTAAACCCTAAACCCTAAACCCTAAACTACCCTAAACCCTGAAGCTTCAGGAAGCCTCACGGCGGAGTCGCTTTGATGGGGATGGGTGCAGCCTTCGACGCCTTCACGGCGGTGGCCGCCGGAGTCTTCGCGCGAGTGCGTGTGTCAAGGTGTGGCTCGCAGGGTTTAGGGTTAGGGTTTAGGGTTTAGGGTTTAGGGCTTAGGGTTTAGGATTTCGGGTTTAGGGTTTAAGGTTTAGGGTTCAGGGTTTAGGGGCTTGGGGTTTACAATATTGGGGGTACCTTATTGGGGCCCTTTTTATAAGGGGATCCTACTATTGGGGCTGTATAAGGGGTCCCTTATTATCGTAAACCCCCATTTTCATCTATAGTACCCCAGACCACTTAAACCCTAAAGCTAAACGGTAAACTACTGTCGGGATCAAGGCTGGCATTTTGGGCGCTTGCTTGTTCCATCTGCATTTCTGAGTTGAAGCGCATGTGAGGACAGGTGGTCGTGTGGGAGCGAGCTGCATGTAGGGATAGGTGAGAGCGTAGGGCAGAACGGCAGAACTCAGAAAGCGAAAGAGTCTTTTTAGGTTTTAGTATTTTAGAGGAGGTTTGGTGTCCAAGGCTCGGGAGTACTTCCCACTAAACCCTAAACCCTAAACCCTAAACCCTACACCCTACACCCTAAACCCTAAACCCTAAACCCTAAACCCTAAACCCTAAGCACACAGGGACTACAACGACACGGTGAACAAGTACCTGCAGCTCGACTTGAAACTCCAGGGATGTTTTGGGTTGTTTTGGGATCAGGGCTAGGGATGTCAGGGCTTGTGGATGTTCAGAGTTCAGGGCTTAAGGATGTTTAGGTTTAGGGATGTTTTGGGGTGTTTCGGGTGAACCCTAAACTCTAAAGCCTAAACCCCAAACCCTAAACCCTAGGACCCAGGGTTGCTTAGGGTCTTGGGTGTAGGAATGGGCGCTCTGGAGTACCAGTCCCAGCCCCTCAGGACCTCCAGATTGGGCCGGTTTAGGGTGTAGCACTTAGGGTTTAGGGTTTAAGGTTTAGGGTTTGGGGTTTAGGGTTTAGGGTTTGGGGTTTAGGGTTTGGGGTGTAGGGTTTAGGGTACAGTGAGGGCCAATTCATGTTTAGGGTTAAGGGTTTAGGGTTTAAGTTTAGTTTTTTTTTTTTTTTGGGGGGGGGGGGGGGGGGGGGGGGTTCGGGGGTATAGGGTTTAAGGTTCTGCCGCTTGCGAGGTTGCCCGTTGGATTGGGTTCTGGGCAAGTCCACCCTTTCCAATCTCCCTACATGTGTCCTATATCTTTCTTTATCTTTGTCTATAACCTATCTCTTCTATCTGATATCCATGTATATATATATATACATATATCTGAAATTTGCTCGTGTGGCGGGCCCAGTACCCCTAATTTTCCGTTGTCGGAGCTGTAGCTACAAACTACGTAATTACACGTGCTTCATCAAGGGTTTAGCGTTTCCGGTTTAGAGTTCAACCCGAAACCCTAAACCCTAAAACCCTAAAACCCTAAACCCTAAACCCTAAACCCTAAACCCTAAACCCAAAACCCTAAACCCTAAACCCTAAACCCTAAACCCTAAACCCTAAACCCTAAAACCCTAAAACCCTAAACCCTAAACCCTAAACCCTAAACCCTAAACCCTAAAACCCTAAAACCCTAAAACCCTAAAACCCTAAACCCTTAACCCTCGAACAGGCCCCTTGCCTCTCGACCGAAGCTCGCCCTCCTGCGGCGGCCGCCCGCCAGCCGGGCCAAGCGGAAGGCAACGGTCTAGGGCTCAGGGTGTAGGGTTTAGGGTTTAGGGTTTAGGGTTCAGGGTTTAGGGCTCAGGGTTTAGGGGTTTAGGGTTTAAGGGTTCGGGGGTTTAGAGCTTTATAGGGGTTTAGGGTTTAAGGGTGTGGGGGTTTAGGATGTTTTAGAGGTTTAGGGGTTTAAGGGTTTCAGGGGTTTAGGGTTTTTGGGTTTAGCGGTTTAGGGGTTTAAGGGTTCGGGTTAATGGCAGTTGTTGTATTATTGGTTGGGTTTTGTTGACCTAGAGAATGTACAAGAAAATCAGATATGTTTTTGTCTTAGGGTCTGTGTTTGGGTCGCTGCTAGGTAAACTGCCGTCTTTTGGGGGAATCGTCTCACCTTTGACAGTTCAGCGCTCGGCAAAGATGTCGTGTTTAGGCGTGCGAGAGGAGCTCCCCAAACCCTAAACCTTAGACCCTAGTGTCCTAGAGCTACCCTGCCCCCTGTCATAAGCAAAGGAAGCAAACCCAAAAACGAACCACGTCTCCCTCGAAAGAGCCCTAAATTCTAGAACCCTGTAACCCTAGAACCCTAGAACCTTTTAAACCAAAACCCGAAGCCCTAAGCCCTAAGGAGGTTTCTCAAGGCAAGCTCTGTATACCCAGCGTGAAGTTCAAGTTGGGACTCAGGTTTAGGGGGCACTTCTGTTCGGCCTTGAGACGGGACCCGGGTTTAGGCTTTCGGGTCTAAGGGGCTTAGGGGGGGTTTAAGGGTTTAGTTGTAGGGTTTAGGGGGGGGTTTAAGGGTTTAGTTGTAGGGTTTTGTGTTCCGGGAAACCCTAAACCCTAAACCCTAAGCCCTGAGCCCTGAGCCCTAAAGCCCTAAAGCCCTACAGCCCTAAAAGCCCTACGTGCCTCCCGGAGGCGTCGAAAACACGACGCTCATCCGAGCGCGAGGCAACCCGGCTGCTGTCCCAACAAGTTAGGTTGGACCACTTGGTGAAATTAAAGTGTTTAGGTTTTAGGGAGTAAATGAATAAATCTTCGTGATGATGGTAATGGGGATCTTTTTTCTATGGTTCATGGATATAGGCGGGCGGCTAGTCCAGTATTTCAAAAGGGCTGTTAGAATGCACAGAGGCAAGTGTAGCGATGGTTTTGCTCGTAGGTAAATACCTTCCTGCCTTACTTGCAACCTGCGATGAACCTCCAATAATGCCACGGTTCTTAGCTTCACTGTCGTGAGAGCAAGCAGCAAGCAGGAGTAGAGGCGCTTGTAAGAGGGCATTCCTTTTCAATTGCACGCAGGTCTGCCCCAGTCATCATTTCACGTTTGGCAGAGCCAGCAAGTGCCCCACACATAGCTACCCAAAGGCTCCTATGTAGTACCTTTTTGGGGTAGTATACTGGAATCCCCTCTAACTAACCCAAAAAGGAACTACATTGGAGCCTTTGGCTAGGGCGGATCGACATAGTCCCACAATGCGAGGCCCCCGGCGCAGTGAAGACTGCTGCCGGTTCAACGGAGCAGGCGCTAGAAGACGAAGACGAGAAAGAGGAGCGGGGTTTCGGCCCCGAGTGCTAGCCACCCACATCGCCACCCCAAGTGGCGCCCTAACCGCCCTGACCCTAACCCCGAAACCTCTGAACCCCCTAAACCCCTAAGTGGCAAGGACCTTTATGTTCTATTTGGCCGAGGGCTCTGTTGCCCTTATACGAGATTTAAATCGATTTGAAAAAAAGGGTCAAGGGCTTACTCTGCGCGTTTTCCTTCACAGCGTCTCTCGGACTTGTAGCAGCTGTCTTCCTCATCTGTAGCCGTGAGACATGGAACAGAGTCTCGAATGCTGGCCTGCGGTCTCTTTTAGCAGTCTTATTGTAAGCAGATAGGGTTTGGGGTTTCGGGTTTAGTGTTTGGATTTGAAGTTTCGGGTTGAGGGTAGGGGGTTTAGGGTTTAGAATTGGGATGCAGGTCGACCCTATTTGCTCTCAAGCATTCCGCGCGGCCCCGAAACCCTAAACCTGAAACCCTAAACCCTTGCCTATACCCTAGACCCTTAAGGTCCTGAACTATGGTCTTTTTGAGCTAGGCACCCCAAAAGAAATGAACTCTTAGGGAACTGCCCCAGTCTCCTGGCACATGACAACGATGTGAGGCTCCGACGATTTTTTGCTTTAAGGAGGGGGGGGGGGGTAGGGTTTATAGTTTCGGAAATTTACTCTCCTTAAATCCTAACCCTAACTAAGCCCTCAGCACGCGCGTGCTCTCAGACCCTCAGACCTTTGCTTTGCCTGCCGGGCTTGCTTGGACTGAGGATTACTTTTAGAGTGTTTAGAGTTCGGGGATTCAGGGTTTAGGGCTCATCGGGCCGAAAGGGTTTGGAGCTTTGTGGCCCAACGAATCATGGATGTCAGGCTATGGTTACCCCCCGAAAAAGACCTTAAACTTCAACATGCATAAGATTTAGGGTTTAGGGTTCCAGTACCTCAGCCCATGCTTCAAAAAAACGCTCCGGTGAGCGGAACCGCTCTGTCTGGGCATGCCGGC